GGAAGCAGGAGAGAAATCTGAAAAGGGGAGGCCTTGGGGCAAAGGGCGTTTCGTGCTGATGTGGACAACCGGGACAGGCGATGTGGCAGAGTGGACAGAACACCGGCCTTAGAGTTCTAAAGACACTTAGACGCTCACCGTTATAAGCCTCAGGGCAAATCCCTTCATCTCTCAGTGCCCTGGGCCCTCCTGAAGATGCTCAGCGGCAAAGAGAGTGGCAGTCTGCATTGGTGGAGGGTATTTCCTCACCTGGGAGTTCCCTGACCCAGTGAAATCCCAGGTCTAGCCCCTGAGGAAAGTGAGGCTCTGTTCTTCCCCACTCACGGCAATGAGGGACAAACCTCTATACATCTTCTCCCTTCTTGTCTCCAAAGACCAAAGTCCGTCTCTAAATCCCTTCCTTACTGGTTCGGTTTCAAAGCAAATTTGCAGATACTTCCCCTTTGCATCCCCACCCCCTTCCAAATTCCCTCTTCTCCCCTTACCCTTGGTGACTTCTGCATAATCTTATGTGAATTCCTAAAAGGTGGCAAAAGCAGGGTGTTTGCTTGGCCACACACACACAATGTAACAATACCAGTCCCTAGGCAAGCAAAGGGTGGCACAGTAGACAGCCTGGAAGGCAGTAAAGACCTGGATTCAAATCCTGCCTCAGACACTTAATGTTGTCCGGCCCATGAGGCAGTCATTTAACATCTCAGTTTTCTCATCTATAAAATGAGGATAAAACCACCTGAATCGGTACCTCCAAGGTTGTTGGGAGGATCAAATATAATCCTCTCTCTGATTGACCCAGCTGGAGAAGAAGTTGCTATTGAATACACGAATGAACAAAAGAATAAATGAATGAACGGAAAGTGCTTCAGGAAGTAAAGCTTTCCAATCTTTTCTATTAATGCCAGATAGTAATATTTACCCCAAAGCTGCAGTTTTAATCTGGCATCAAATGAGGCACAGCACTCTTCCAAGAATGAAGCCAGGACTCGATGCTAAGCTTTAGGCTGGCCCTCCACCCTGTGCTGCCACATGCCCTCTCTGATCTAAAGGCTCCCCACCATAACCCTTGGGAAGTAGCAAATGTTAATTTTCCAAAGTGGTAAAATCCACCAGCCCGGCAACTGCCCTGCCTCCAATGGTTTTCCATTTCCTAAATTCCATTTCTCCCTGACGTTCCCTTGGTAGCGCCATGATTTAGTTGGGCATCATTTCTCTAAGCGAGTTGAGGACCTCTTGGATCTCCGTATCTCAAATTCATGAACCCTGGAGAGGGCAGCTGATGCCCCATCAGGGCACGTGATGTGACTAATGGTTTGTCAAGATAAGAGCCGCTGATTGCATGGGAGGAATCAGACCCTTGGCATCAATGAGATGAGAATCTCATTGAGAGACCTGTAAAAAATAGCCTGGGCTTCGACCCATCGGTCCTTGAGACAGTCTATGTTTCAGGCACAGAACTCTAGCTCTTTGGGGCTGCTGCTCCCAGGCAGGAGAAGACAAAACAGTGAGGATGCACCATGAAGGGTTTGCAATGGTGTGATTAGCCATTGTATGAGCTGCCGATCCACCACAGATGTATAACACCACCAGACAAGCAGAAGGGGCACATGCTTATTCTTCAAGCAAAAGAGAGTCATCACATGCAATGGCAGCTTGATACTACAGAAAGTACATCCGCTGGGACCCAGGTTCAAATCCTACCTCTGATAGTTGCTACCTGTGTGACCTCAAACAAACCAATTCATGTCTTTGTGTCCCTGTTTCCTCATTTCTGAGTCCATACATTTTCTAAGTCATACACTCCACTCTTCTCCCATAATCCTTGGGCATCTCATCACCTGATTCCAGTGTTCTAATCTTCAGGAGTTAAACCAGGGCAGGGCTATTTTTAAGCACCATGGCTCCAAATGGCTACTGTCCAGGCTCCCACCTTACTTACACTCCTTTCCCCACAGGTCCCATCTTCCTGGGACCTGAGCTGGAGAAAGTTTCTTCCTGGGACCGGCTGGCTATTAGCAAGCCCTGAGTGCAGCAGTCTGCCCAGGGCACGGGGGAGAGAGTGAGGTCTGACCCCTGCCGTAACTCACACAGCCTACGCATTTAGAGTTGAGTCTACCCGAAGCAAGTTTTCTAACAGCAAATGACACTGTGGAGAGATGCCAGGATATCTTTCCTTTTCCCTTCTTCCCTTCCCTTTGCAGAGTATGAAATAGACCATTCTACCCAACATCTCTCTTATTTTTAGTTTTTAACTTTTTTTATTAAATTTTGTTTTAATAAAAAAATCTGTTCTCTCCCTCTCATTGAAAAAAGAGAAAAACAAAACCCTTACAACAATATATATGGTTAAGTAAAACAAGCCTCCACATTTACCTAAGCTCTCTCAACCCCACCCCAAGTACCGAAGTATAATATCAGTTTCAGAAGAGGAGTAGCTATTTGCTTTTGGCAGAAGCCAAGCCCTGGACGATAGGGTCACTGACATTTTTGTTCATTATTTTCTGACAGCAGGTGCTGGCAAAGACAACGCTGCATAGTTGTGCCATCTCTCCTGCCCGGTGGGCGAGAAATGGGCATCTTTAAAGCAGAAGGCCGCCCCTGCAGACAAGGTCACGGGACCGGAAGGGACGTTTGAGATCACCTCGGTGGGTTTTTCTCCCAACCCAGTGTTCTTTGCAAGGAGGAATCACAGCACATTAAACATTTAAGTGGGCAGCATTGCAGTGGAGTTTGTAGACTCACGCATACAGCTGCCCTTCAAGGAGAGAAGCTGTTGTGGTAGAATTCTTTGATTCCTAGCTCTGACACGCTCTGGGGTTAGAGTATGAACTGCAAAGGGGAAGAAACAAGTTTCGCGTACTTTTCAAACAGGATACTAACAATGCTGTCTATTCAGGATTAGTAAACTTCAAAGTAAACTATGTTATAAATAATTTTTGACGTGTAAAGCTTTGCATAAGCATAACCACTGACCTGGTCCAGTCTCAGTACATCAGAAAGTGAGCTGAATGAGAGGATCTGAGTTTGAATCCTGGCTTCACCCTTTACTCTTCAGCAGTCAACAGAATCTCTAGAGAGCCAGGCCTGGAGCTCAAATCTGGCCTCAGACATTCACTAACTATGTGACCCTGGGTAAGTCACCTAACCTGCTTGCCTCAGTTTCCTCATCTGTAAAATGGGAATATTAATAGTACCCACCTCCCAAGGTCATTGTGAGGATCAAATGAGATAATCATCATAAAGTGCTTGGCACATAGTAGGGGCTATATAAACGTTGGTAGTTATTGTTATTAATCATCCCCCATCTTAGTCACCCAGTGTTCAGAATACAGTCATACCTCAAAGACTTCCCAGCACCATATTTCTAGGAGGACAATCACGGGGCTGGAAGAGGTCAAGCTTGGAATGTTACCTATGTTCTCTAACTTTTTGGAATTTGCTTCATAAGAGCTGAGAATGTTGGAGAGCAAAGTGGTGTAGTGGGAAGAGGAGAAGAGGGCTGAATTTGGAATCGGAGGACCTGAGTTCAGATTCTAGCTCTGTCCCTTGCTACCTGTGTGATGGGAGAAGATTCCCTGGGATTTCAGTTTCATCCTCTGTTAAATGAAGGGGTGGGATAAGGTGACTTCCAAGGACCCCGCAGGGGAAGGTCGGTGAGCCTATGATCTCCGTCTTAAGGTCTTCAGTGGAAAAAAAAAAAAGAATTCCCAGGCTGGGAGGGAAGTCACAAGATGGCAGACAACAGCACTTGAAAGGTACGTGCAGCAGCATGTACATGGAGACGTGCTTCAGCTCAAGGTGACTGGAGCAAGTCACTTTTAAAGTAATTTATGCACGGTCCCTTCCCTGCCTGAGCATTTCAGAGCTCTCAGAAGGTTATTTTCTCCTGGAACAAAGAAATACTGGCATATTCGTTATATTTTTGGATGAGAAGTCTACGCACAACTTCCCAAGGCCGTCCAAAAACAGTCGTCCAAATGTGCGAGCGGCTCTCCTGGGAGCTGAGGGGCGGGTCCCCCTCACTGGAATGAACAGCAACAAACAAGGAGCGGGTGAGATACAGATGTAAAGTGCTTTGCAAACCTTAAAATGCTCCATCAAATGGGGGTAATTTTTTAATACCCTTTAGCCCACCCGCTCTTATTTTGCAGATGAAGAATCTGAGGCCCAGAAAGGGAAAGTCACTTGCCCAGAGTCACACAGGCAATAAACAGCAGGGCTGACATCCAAGTCTTCAGCTTCCAAATCCTAGACTCTTTCCGCAGACCGGCCCACCTCTCTCTTATTGAGAGAGATGCCTTAGCTCAGGACACTCCCATGTCTGGAATGGCCTTCTTTCTCACTTGTATTTCCTGGAATCCCTAGGTCCCTTCAAAGATCAGCTCAAGTTTTACTTCCTCCATGAGACCTGCCTTGATTCCCCTGATTGTTAGTTGTTCCCCACTCCTGAAATTACTTTTTGTTGGAATTGATTTCTACTTGATTTTTTTTGTTTGTTTTTTTGCTAGGCAAAGGGGTTAAGTGACTTGCCCAGGGTCACACAGCTAGTAAGTGTCAAGTGTCTGAGGCCGAATCTCTGCTTGATTTTTAATGGAAAACACACCAGTGGGGGCTCATCAGCTCTAGACCAAATTAGAAAGTGTGAGTGATGGGGGGTAAAAATCCAGAGGAGTGCTCCATATACATTTTGCATTTACTTACCTGTGTGCATGCGGTCCTCCTCCCTTCCTCCCCCACTCTGCCCTTTCCCCACCCCGCCCCCAGCAGTGTGTAGGGCAGGGACTTTCCTTTTTGTCTTTTTATGCCCCATGGGTAGCACAGTGCCGTCACAGAGGAGGCACTTCATAAATGCATACAGGACCGGGTTGAGGAAGGGTAATTCTGAACACACATGTGGCTTCTACCACAGTATGTGTCCCCCACGTGTAGTTCTTCCTATAGTGTGTTTCCCCTCTAGACCATTCTGACCATGGTGTATCCCTCCCCCCACATGCGAGTCTTACCGTGGTGTATTTCCCCAGCTGGCAGAGGGATGGAAAGGTTTCCTGGTGAGCTTTCCGGATCTTCTCAGTGAGGTCATCCAGTTCTGCTGTCATTTCATAGCTTTCTGTGAATTCCTGCTTTGAAGGCTCTTTCTTCTTCTTATTCTTATCATTTCTGACAGCTAGAAAGAAGAGAGGAGGCAGTTCAGGCATCACCCACTGGACCATGGCATGGGGCAATGCATCTCTATGCCCCAAATACTGCCTTCAGACTTGCTCCACTCCTGGAAATTTTTACCAAGTGGGAGTGCTGCACCAATGCTTTCTCCTGGGAAAAATCACTTGGCATCCAAGCTGTCCTGGGAGAAAAGTAAACGTGTGTGTGTGTGTGTGTGTGTGTGTGTGAGTGTGTGCACTCATATGGATCTTTAGGTAACCACAGAATCACCTAGAATTCAGCCCCATCCCAGTAACTACTGAGAGAACGTTCCATTCAGAAAGCCTTGTTCTAGGAGCAGGGACACTCGTAGCAGACATAGCTAGAGTATTTCCATTCCTAATCGGGGATGGTCAAAGACCTGATCTCCTTCCCCAGGGCCTTGGAGCTTTCCAGTTAGAAACACTCAGCTTATTTCTATAATGTGTTATTACAAGGATGGGGAAATGTGTTATTACAAGGAAGGGGAAAACTGATTTTAAGATACCTTGGGACACTTCAGTCGGGAGCTGGCTGCTTAGAGACGATCCAATTACCTGTTAAACAGGTATTTGTCTTCCCAAAATATATGCTGGCTAGAATTACAAACAAGGAACTAACTTTCATCAAGCCTTCCTGGAGGAAGTCAGCTAAAACCAGGGACTCGTGTGGTTTCAGAAGGTTATGGAGGTCAAGAGAGTCAGAGAGAGATGGTGGTTAAAGGGCCAGCCTGGGAGGCAAGAAGGCCTGGGTTCATGCTCTGCCCCGACTCAAAGTAGACTTGGAGATCCAATCCTACCTCTGATAAGAGCTATGTGACCCTGAACAACCTCTCTCACTGAGGCTCGGCCAGCTAGGTAGCCCAATAAATACAGTGTTGGACTGGAGTCAGGCAGAACTGAGTTTGAATCCAGCCTCAGACTCTCACTAGCTGTGTGACTTTGGGCAAGTCACTTAACCCTGGATGCCTCAGTTTCCTTATCTGTAAAATAGAGATAATAATAGCACCTCCCTAGAAGGGTCGTTGTGAGGACAAAATAAGATTGAATTTCTGGTCCCTGATCTTCTTCAGACAAACTGCTCTCTAACCTTGGTCCCCCATCTAGGAAATTGGTTATTTGTACCTCAGTGTAAGACTTTACATTTATCCTTACTGAATTTTACCTTGCTATGATGTAATGATTGGCTAAATGCCTAATGTTCTTTTGGATCCAGCGTCCGTAGCCCAGAATATTGGCCGTCTCTCCTGGCTTGGGGTCATGTGAAGATCTGATAAGCATGCCACATACACCTTTATTCATAGTCACTGATAAAAACATGAAACAGAAGCATTTGACCGAGGACAGATCCCTGTGGCCCTCTGCTGGAGACTGCCTGCCATGTTGACATTGAGCCATCAGCAACACCTCTTTGAGCTCAGTCATTCAACCAGCTCTGAATTCATCCAATGGTAGCTTTGTCCCATTCACTTTCTCTCCATCTTCTCCACGAGAACAGCATGTCTTACTTTATCAGAAGCCTTGCTAAAACCCACATGGACAATATCCACAGCACTCCCTTCACTGCTAGGTTAATAATGCTGTCCAAAAACGAAACGAGGTTAGTTCGATCTGGCCTGCTCCATGGGAGGTCTTTGTCATCACCGCTTCTCACACAGGTCTTGAGGAAAAGCCACAATTGGAACCCAGGTCTTCCTATTCCAAATCCAGTTTTCTTACAAGGGCCTCACGTTTCTATCTGATCTGAGGGCAGGGTTTAAAAGCATTCTTAGGGACTAGTCTGGCTGCCTCTGACCAGCACTGGGATCCCTTCCCAACCGTCGCCACCCTCAATAAAGCACCTTCTTATTGTGATTGTTCCCCGAGATAAAAGGACTCCTCAGAATATTGCGCAAACGTCCGCACAAGGACTGTAATTTGTCACACTTGGGGCCCTGTCCACTGCCGAGCTCATTAGCTCAAAGCCGCTCATGGCACAAACATATCATGGCTTGCAAAGGGCTGCTAAGTATCACCAGATACAAGGAGAGGATTCGCCTGAAATCCTATGGCCAGGTGGCTGCAAAGGTCTCTCCTGCTACTGCTGCTTTGCTCGGTTTTCCGCTGACGTCCAGGCTCTCAGAAGGCCTCATGGCAAGTGTCTACCGGCCCGGATCAATGACGCAGAAGGAGGTTATTGGAACAAGAGGGAAGCCAACTTTAATATTGGGCATGGAGTGAGCAGACACCCCCCACACACACATACACACAAAAGTGATAAGGCATACATTAAATGATCTATGGGGGACTTCACACCGTTTTTTTCTTTTTTTTTAAGCGGGGGAAGGGTGTCCCTGAGATTAGATCTACCAACTCTGAAAATTGCCTGGAGATCTAGCATCATAGCCCTTCCTAGGATGGCAAGTGGCAAGCGGGGGGAGAGGGAGTGTGGGTTTGTGGGCTGGTGCTAAAAAGTCAAGAATAGGGGTGCTGAGATGCACTACATACCCTCTTAGCCTTAACATCCCCATCATCATCAAGGCAAAGCAGACGGACTGGCTCTCACCCCTTCCAGAACTATTTCTCTCCTAAACACCATTAAAGTCTACTCAATTTAAAAAGTATTTAATTCAGTGCCATATGTGTGTGTGTGTGTGTGTGACACTGAATGAAATACACACACATATATACATATGTATATATTACATATGATGTGGATATATCTGTATTATCTCTATCTATATCTCTCTCTTTACATATACATATCTCTGTGCTAACCAACTAGAGATGCAAAGAAAACAATTAAGCAATCCCTTCCCTCAAGGTGCTTACAATCTGCTATAGAAATACGACGTCTCTCGGGCCATGGGACTTGTCCTCACGGTCAGGTCTGACTTTTTTTCTACTTCTAGACTGTCACTGATGGTTACTTCAATAGATTTTTCCCGGTATACAAATGGGGGGTAACCCATGTGGTGATTTTTCTCACATATCGCCCTAGAATAACCACACTGTAGCAACAACCCAATGAGGTTGGTCATACAAATAGGATGCCTTCCCTCCAAGCTAGCCCCCCAGTTTATAGGTGAGGCTCGGAGGTAGGGGACTTGTGCATAATTACCAGGATTCAAACCAGGTACTCAGATGCCAGGTCTTCCATTGTTTTTCCTCCCCTTCATAAGCTGTTTGGCATTTTGGGAATTTGACCAGATTCCTGCTTGTGAAGAATGGCCATAAGAATGATGAGAAGTAGCAAGGCATGATGGACTTTGAGGGTAGGCCTCAGGTCAGGAAGACTGAATTGAAGTCCCGAAATATAACAAATGCTTGTTGATCGACTTGAAGTGGAATGACGACTGAGTTGGGAGTTAGAAGACCTAGATTTAGATCCACACGGCACCCCAGATACCCAGGATGAGATCGAGCAAACTGGTAAAATGAGGGGGCTGAAATCAACGGCCCAAAGGGCTCTTCTAACTCTAAACTACTTCTCAGTGCACCCTTCCATGAGACCCACAACTGAATCAATCGAACGTCCAGATGTCTGCAGCTTCACAAACGGTGGGAAGAGGGATGAAGAAAAGCTGGGCCGGGGGAACGTTGGCCCTCATCCTTCCTGGGCACAATTATTTCGGTTACTCCTTGTGACTTAGCACACTCTCTATCATTACACATTCCTGATCTGGAGGCAGTAACCAAGTGGAGGGAGGGAGAGAAAAAGAGGGAGAGAGGGAGGAAGGGAAATGGGGAGAAAGGGGAGAGAGGGAGCAGGGAGAGGGGGAGAGAGAGACAGAGAGGGATAG